CTTATTATAGACACATGCATTTCCAAACATTTGGTCTACCTACGCTGCAAAATGTATTATCTTTTAGATTTACAAACGGCATCTATTGCACGTCTGTCCGTCCTGGGAGAGGGATCCCTCCTCTGATGCTCTCCCTGAGGTTTCTCCCCTGAGACTGCCAAAGGCACACGGTTTTTCTCTGGAAGTTTTTCCTTGTACGATGTGAGGGTCTAAGGGTCAGAGGGTGTCATATTGTCATACTGATATTCTGCACAAACTGTGCTGTTGTATTTACTGTATAGTGTCCTTACTGTAAGGTAATTATTATATGTACAGCACTTTGGCTCGACCAAAAACGTTTTAAAAATGTGTTATATAAATAAAACTTGATTTGATAATATGTTTGACATGTAGTTTGCAAACACATTGAGAATATTCTCTAAACGCTTTTGTATTTTTGTTTTTGAGGATTTGTTTAGTCTTCAAGATATCTCTGTGTTTTGTCAGTAATTTAAAAGCTAAGGTTAACAATTTATTTGAGTCTATCTTAATACAATATTTTACATGCCTGTATGTATGTTGGGAAAGTTTAACATTGTCAATATCCTGCAAGTTACTCCCAAGGATAGTTTGTGCCTAACTAACAAAGCACGTATATACTAACAAAGGGCTGGCTTATCTAAAGCTAGTTGAGTAGCACTTGAAATGTTTTGGCTCTATGAAACCTGAGGTACTTATCTGATTCTGTTTTCTTCTAGTTTGTATCTTCTTGGTCGAATGCACTTATTGTCGCTTTGGATAAAAGCGTCAGCTAAATGAAATGTAATGTCCCCAAAACAATTATCAAAGAATATTATTTTATCTAAATGAACTGATATTATTGTGTGCTCAGTTCTTATCTGCTTCATAATTTCTTTAGTGCGTGAATTGACATTGTGTTGGCGATAAAGTAGGATCATCTTCAACCTATTTGTTGGACTCTTCCTCAGATAAAACAAGACATTTCAAGATAATAATAATAATAATAATCCTTATATATATTATAGGGCTTTATCAATGACTCAAAGCACTTTACAAATACACATACTGTACATACAGATCATACATGTAATGGTCTACTGTGGACAATACCCACAGGAGCAAGTTCAGGTGAAGTGTCTTGCCCAAGGACACAACGGCCTGACGCCACCCCGTCCCAAAGATGACGTCCCCTTAGGCTCTTGGAAATCCGGACACACATATTTCACCTTTCTGGCCTTTTATACAAAACCAATTAATCAATAAGATGAAAGGAATCCTTTGCTGCAGCTTTAGTAAAATCATCTCTGTTTGACTTCAGAGGTAGAAGTGCTTTGAAATACGATCGCCACCCTCAGATCGGAAACATTAATATCAAGTTCTGCTTCCTTGAAAGGAGCCAGGATAACTGATCACCACAACCTTTAAATAACTCTTCCAGGGCGGCAGTCTGTTCCTGGAAATGCAGTTCACGCTCTGCATTTATAGACAGGGCTTTCTCCCTCTCTCCTCCTTTCATTTCCTCTCTCGTCTCACTTCTCTTATCTCCGTCTTCTGCAGCCGTTGCTAAGAGAAAATGCACAGACTTGATAAAAATGAATGACTCTGTTTTACCCAGGCTTTGCGTGCCAGGCCTTCAGTCATATTATCTGCAGATTTCACCACTGGACAGGCAGATGCTTTCCTCCCCGAGCGCCATGTGTCACTGAATCTGAGCCGGGATAAGACGTCCATCGCACTGAGCTCAGAATAAGATCTGAAGCACCCCGGTGCATCATTCGGAGAAAAAGACACGACAGCACATCCTCGTTATCTCAAGTATTTCTGAACCTCATGCTGAGCAGAATTGTCTGAAGAGCTGATTTACTTTAGAAAAATAAAACCATGTCCCCTCTGCCCCTCCGCTGACTCGCAGTCACACTGACATGCTAACCAGATGATATTATATCACGTGATCTTCAGTCTGCATTAGTGTAAATACTTCCTTATTAGATTTATCTTTGACCTGATGATGGAAATGTTATGTAAGATATCCACACAGATTAAAGTACTTCAGGCTGCTTCATACGAGGGGAGTTGGTGTTCATGTTAGCAAACACACATTTGTAACTTCCACTGTTGCTTTGGGGTTGTGTTGTATCCTCAATACTGTGATTGTTGTATAAACAATGGCATCATGATGTATGGAAATATCAATAGCGCCTTAAAAATGCTGAAATCTGCACTATTGAATTCCCAAAGTGTGTTTTATTGCTGTTATCAGTGTGCTGTGTGTCGGTTTGTGTAATTCTGTTTCCCTTTGCAGCTCCACTAAGTGTTTTAAGAATAGTCGAATAACGGTTTACATGATTACATGTTTAACATCCTTCTTCCTTCTCTTTCAGACTGCACCAAGGAGAAGAGGAAGCAGGGAAACATTTAAAGACAAGAAATCCTCAAATCAGGTAAAAAACAATATATATATTCTGTATCTTTCAAAACATAACATGTTTTATTTCATAAACAATAAGGGCGTAGACATATTGTCCTTATTGTCAACAAATTAAATGAAAACACGAACAACAATGAGTTATTAGTATTATGGCCATAAATCTCCAATGTTGACTAAAAACAATTAAAATCTCATTATTGATCCATAGTTTTTCAATTAGGGAAATGTGTCTTAATTACCATCATTTATTTTGATTCAATCCCACATGCATGGTTCTCCTCTTGCAAATGTGGATTAATCCACCGCTTAAAGTAGTCCCTAACAACAACTTTATTTCTTCTTTAAAAAGTTTGTTGACAATAACACAAGTATAAAATATCCCCAGCCCTATCCCCTAAAGCAGGGGTCCCCAACCCCCGGTCCGCGGACCGGTACCGGGCCGCGGAAGTGTTACTGCCGGGCCGCGAAATAGCTGTGAGTTTATCGTAATATTTGCAGAATTATAAATATTTAAAAATATTTTATCAAATTTTTTATTTTCGCACCTATACCAGTCATATTATTTCATCCAAAACATACAAAATAAATCAAAATTGGTTAGCATAAGGTCTCAGCCTCTCGTGCACAGAGAAAGTTACCGGTGCGCCAATAGGAAGTTGAGCACACAGGAGACAACCGTTTAATCACAGACTGTTATGTTTATGTGGGGAAATGGCAGTGCATACATTATTTGAGATATATTTCGAACTCAGACTTCATTTTAAGGACATTGCGGCCAGGGGTGTAGAGCTATTTTTTTATTTGTAAAACCTCCTTCACTTCATGAAATGGCTGCAGCATCAGGAGGCAGCCTCTGAGAAGTGCAGCACCAGCGCGTACACACCGCCTTCACTGTGTTCCCCACTGCAGGCTGCTACGTTTCAACCACACACAACCTCTACACACACACACATCGAACGGCCCGATTATTCCCCCTATTACTCGTTGTATGAAGGAAATGTCCGATCACAAAGGCGCATTATGTGTGTGTGTATGTGCTCTGCTCAGCTCCGCTGTGTATGTTCCGTGTGTATGTTCGGTGTGTTTGTGTGTGTCCAAGAACGGCATTTGTTTTCAAATTACCATGAACAGTAATTTACACACATCTGGCCAACTCCATAGGTATGTGGGTGTTCCCAAAAGAAGTTAGTTTAATCTTAATCTCGATGTAGTGCTAAATGCTGTCGGAGTGCACCGGAACGAACGCCCCGGTATGACGTTATTATGGCTGGCAAACAAGCCCAGGGTCTCCCTGACATTTCAGTTATATCAATATGTGTACAGTGGTCCTAATTTGTTTTAATTGTATCCTGGTTTTAAACGTTGTTAATATGTTTTGGATGCATATTGTTCTATTATGTGTTCAGGCTGTTAAATACAATTAGCCACTGTTGCCACCTATATTAGGCTATATTATATTATATATTATATTAATATTTGTAAAGCGGTCCTAATTTTTTGTTTTAATTTTATCCTGGTTTTAAACGTTATTAATATGTTTTGGATGCATATTGGTATTTCTTCAGGCTGTTAAATACAATTAGCCTCTGTTGCCACCTGCTGGTGAGTAAATATTAAAATCAGCTAAAATTGACAACCGGTCCGCACATTTTTTTTAATGTATCTGCCGGTCCTTGGCACAATAAAGGTTGGGAACCCCTGCCCTAAAGTGTCTAAATGCCTCCTCCTTTCCTTCCCCCTGCTAGGAGGACAGTGCAGACCTCAGGTGCCAGCTCCAGTTTTCCAAAGAGGAGTCGAGTCTGATGAGGAAGAAGATGGCGAAGCTGGGCCGCGAGAAGGACGAGCTGGAGCAGGAGCTGCAGAAGTACAAGTCGGTCTACGGGGACGTGGACAGTCCTCTCCCCCTGGCCGAGTGCTCCGGCGGCGGGCCTCACACGACCCGAGAGGCCGAGCTGCGACTGCGCCTCAAGCTGGTGGAGGAGGAGGCCAACATCCTGGGCAGGAAGATTGTGGAGCTGGAGGTGGAGAACCGGAGCCTGCGTGCGGAAAACGAAGACATCCGCTGTCAGTACGAGAGAGACTGCTTTGGGCGGGAACCCTTCTCCAGCATGCCCTCGTCTCCGTACGGTGGTGACGCGCTGGATTCGGCGAGTGAGCTCCGTCGGCATCTACAGTTCGTGGAGGAGGAGGCGGAGCTTCTGCGGCGCTCCATCTCAGAGATCGAGGACCACAACCGGCAGCTGACGTCCGAACTCAACCGATTCAAGTTCGGGCCCACCAGCAGCAGCGGCGGCTCTGTGGGCGAGGAGGCCAGCGAGGGAGGATTATTCAAACCTGGGAATGGCGGGAATGGTAGCGGCGGGATTATGATGGAGGAGCTTAAATCGGCCAGGATGCAGATCAACGAGCTGAGTGGGAAGGTGATGAAGCTGCAGTACGAGAACCGAGTGCTCATCTCCAACGTGCAGCGCTGCGACCTGGCCGCTCACCTGGGCCTGCGCACTGGCAGCCCCCGAGACAGCGACGCAGACAGTGATGCAGGCCAGAGAGAAGCTGCCGAGGAAGAGGAGGCAGGGCGACTTCTCCTCCTGCAACCCAAACGGGAAGGCCCTATTGGCGGGGAGAGTGACTCCGAAGACCTGTTTGAGAAAACGGGCACCACCTCAGGGTTCGGGAGCTTCAAACCCTCGGATGGAAGCGAGCTCAGCTCCGTAGAGAGGGCGAACCGCAGGAGGGAGGAGCGGGAGTCGTTCACCAACGTGAAGCGTGAGGCGGAGAGGCTCGGGAAGACGGTGGATCGACTGATCACGGACACGGACAGTCTGATCTTTGAGGGCCATTTGATGGTGACGACCGGAGAGAGTCTGGAAGCAGCGGCGGCGTCCGGATCCAAACCAGACACCCAGGTCCTGGACACCATCAACACTCGCATGAAGGCTTTCCGCACGGAGCTGCACATCTTCACGGAGAAGCTGGACCACGTGGGGGAGGGGCTGAGGGACCGGACAGACGATCTGTCCCCCATGCCGAACCTCACAGAGTCCAGCAGCTTCCTGTCCACCGTCACCTCCATGTCCCGGGACTCTCCCATCGGCACCTTCGGAAGAGACCTGGTGACGGACTTCCAGGTAAGTTCGACGGAGTCAGACTTCTTTTGTGGCCTTTTTTCTGTGGTTTTAAAAGGATTTCTCAGTACTTTGATGTGTTTTGTTTCTGTGGCTGCTTGGTTTGTTTGCTTAAAGATAAATAGTGATAATAAGGAAATCCTGTTCGCCACGGTTTGAAAAAAGTCAACACTTTTTTCAAAAAATAAAAAGTCAACACTTTTTTCAATAGATGGAAAGAAACAGGATGTACTTAAAGAAACTCTTTACCTAAAGAAACTTGAAGAACAATCATCAGCATCCAACGGAGTCCGAGCTGGTTTTCGTAGACCAAGTCGAAGAGGATTTCACACCAGATGGCTTCATTGCTTTAAAACAGAATAAAACTAATATGTTTACTCTGCAAAATCCTGGCAAGTAAGACATACCCCTCTGGTGTGTGTTTGCTAAGGTGAGATTTCATTTTGGTTTGATTTAAACAGCCGTAAGTGTGCAGTCATTAATCGACCGTTTAATGCCACAATAAACGAAATGAGATCCTAAGTCAGAACTGTGTTAAAATATTCCGCTCTAATTAAAGACAGTGGCAGCGACGTACATCTTAAGCAGAACACATGCTATCCACAACCTTGCCTGTCAATGGGAACTTCATTAAGTTGTAAGCAATTTAGGCAGCGTTTAGGATAGGTTCGGATTTGTTCAAGTCTATCTTAATGCGATACATGGCCGTGTGTCTGCTGAGAGTTATGGGTCTTTCTCTGCAATAGGAAAAAAGTCTATATTCTGTTCCAAAAATGTATGAAACACAAAGTCTGTTCTTTGATGTCTGTGCTACTGCATAGGTGTAAAAAAAGTTGTATAAAGATGTTATGTCTCCAGAGGGAGTTGTGTGCTGTCTGTTGAGCTCTTCTTCAAGTTAAAAAGAAGTGAGCTTAAAGACCAATGTAGCTCCTTATCCCTGCTCGAGGGTACCATAGTTGCTCCTATCCTAACATTTATTTCAACGGCAAAACTGAGGGTGAGTTGCTTTGTGTGTAAAGTCGGCGCCAGGTTTTGACTAGCAAAAAGAATGGATGGATTAAAACAAACTATATCTCTGGTTCTGCTGCATAGATTTTAATCTTTCTTTTTAAGCTTCTCGCTGCAAGTCTGGCAAAGTCACAGGAGTCTAATATCATTTGAGAAGGCAGCCAAAGTTGATTTGAGGCTTCACTAGTTTGCGTTGGCCACATACAGTATAGTTGGTCCCTCCAATAGGTTTTATGTACAGAATTCTTTGTTTGTGTTTCCCTGGACAGTGCTTCCTTTCTGAGATGAAATTTGCAGAGCGAAGGATTTTGTCACATGGTGGGGATTTGTCACTTGTAACGCAGGTGTCCTTAAGCGAGTTCAGGGAGCACAGAAACTTCCTGTCGAGTGGTCGTTTGTAAATCAAGTCGAAACAACAGTGATGTTTGAGTGAGATTTGGTTGATTGCAGGTTAACAGTCCGTGTAGGGAGGAGCACAAGAGGAGATCTGCATTGGCATAATCTGATCATGATTTAGCAATTTTTCGCTTGTGCTTAACTATTTATGAATCAATTTAGTTGTAAAACATGTTTCCCAACTTTAAATGTGCGCCTTTGTTAGTTGGACTGTAGACAGACTACGGACAGATATCCGCTGTCAGCCCCCATTAAACCCAAATAGTGGCGTTTGCGCCCAGAGGCTCATAGTTGTTAGACTGATTGCACAGGGGAAAGCGTGCTTGTACGATGCTGCTTTTTTATTCTTCAATGTGGGATTTTTCTATCGTTTTAAAGCAGAATTCTCCAGCAGTGGACCACCCCTAGAGAAAGTGACCTGCAATTAGACCCTCATGACACAGGTCAGATAGACTTGGCAAATCCGAACCTATCATTTAAAGCCTCAATAAGACATATTGAGAGGCTGTTAGACCCCCCAGACGTCAAGTGGCTGCTCAGGGTCACATGTCAGGACCCTCCGCTCCGACACGAGCCACCCAGCTCCACCACACAGACCCCCCCCC